TCAATAGTCTGATACGCTTTTTAGAGTCTGCATTGTTATTTATTTGCACGTAATGGGTGGTCCTTTCAAAAGCCCCAGTTACTACAGTCTAACATATGATTCTACGTGAAACACCTGCTCTTTTGGTCAATAAAGGTAGTAAGCAAACCACAACCAGCTCAGGAAATGCAGACTGTAGAGATCATTTCTGAACCATTTCTCTCTTCCATAGACCCAGGAAACTAATATGTCATATCACCACAACTAATTTAGAATTCTCCAAACAGAACTCAAAATAAGGCACAAGGAAAACACTTAGAGAAGTTGAGATATTTCTGCTGCTTCTTAATGGACTAGACAGACCATGATGGGCTTGGAGCCATGCCAGGCTCAGTCAATGTGGGCACCTGACAAAGACAGGTTAGTGATTAAGGAGAAGAGGGGAGGCCTGGCTACTCCAGAAATAACTGCAATTTATTTCCAGTAATTCCTGTCTCCAAAAATAAAGCGCTGTTTCACACATTTTATGACCACCTACAATTCTTACATATTGGCATTTTAATGTACCAAGTTTTTTTTTGGCACCAAAAGCAAATGTAGTATTTCTAGTCCTAAAGCTATCTCATATTCTAATGATTTTCAATGAAAACCATTCGAAAATCCTTTATGTATGTCCTTGACACATTTAACAAAGGGTTTCCTTTTTCTTTGTCACGTTCGGCACAAACAGGGGTTCGGTAAATATTTGCTAAATTAATAAAAGAATGTATTCAATCTAAAGGTGAACAGTATGCTGACATGGTTTGGCTGTGTCCCCACCCAAATCTCATCTTGAATTGTAACTCTCACAATTCCTACGTGCATTGGGAGGAACCTGGCGGGAGGTGATTAAATTATGGGGCGAGTTTCTCCTGCACTGTTCTCGTGATGGCGAATGAGTCTCACAAGATCCGATGGTTTCAAAACCAGGAGTTTCCCTGCAGAAGTTCTCATTCTGCCTGCCGCCATCCATGTTAAGACATGACTTGCTCCTCCTTGCCTTTCACCTTCTGCCATGATTGTGAGTCCTCTCCAGCCATGTGGAACTGTAAGTCCAATAAACCTCTTTCTTTTGTAAATTGCCCAGTTTCAGGTGTATCTTTATCAGCAGCATGAAAAATGGGCTACTGCATACGCACTGTGCCATTTTCAGACTCCGCTGCCACGATGACTTCAAACAGCATAGTGTGACTTTCAGTGACATTTGTCACCCGGCCTCTCCTTATAAATTCAAATGTATCTCCCCAGATTTCTTAAGCAAATGCTCCGCCCCAAATTGTCCATGCTCACTTTCTGCTCCACACTTTTGCCTTCTTCAAATCCGAGCCTTTTAGCTACCTAACAAGACAGGCACTGAGCCACAAGGTAACACCCAAAGTGTGAATCCCAGAGTGCTATGAGATTTAAAAACAAAATGGAGGGTATTTGTCCCCACCCATGGAATTCCTGAGAGGATGCATTTCATCCTTAGACTCAGGGGATGAAACACAAATTAGAATTCAATACCAACTGTCCCTTACTCATGATGTGACTCAGAACAAAGTCACTTCAACCTCTTATTTGCCAATATTTCTGTATAACATGTCCAATAATACTAGTGAAATTTGTGTATACAGGAATCATCTGAGAAGCTTGCTAAAAATACAGATAAGGGGAGTGTTATGTCTTTCCAGAGGTTAATTACTGGGCTCAGCATGAGTCCTAAGAATCTATTTTCTACCAAGTTGACCACGTAAAGCCCAAACAAGGAGTGCAGGGTCCATACACCTGCACCTGTAGTGTGAAATACAGATGCACAGCAGGTGCAGTGACTTTGAATCAACTAATGCTTTTGCATCATCTGTAAAACCTGAAACATCAAAATCCCAAAGACCAGTGTGATTACTGCTGGTTAAAGCTAAACAGGCACGGCAGAAAACCTAGCCAGGTCTAACCCAGAGGTGAGAATGCACGGAACAGGTGGTGTCAGCCCCAGTGCAATCTCATCAGCTACAGAGATAGATTGCCTTTGAGTTCTCTTTGCTACCAGAGCCACAAATAAGTAGAATGACCCAGACTTACTCTCCCTATCAGAATCACCGCGGCAGCCAGCTGCCATCACCACCCCCTACCATCCTTCCCTCCGCTTTCCTACAGCTCCTAGTGTTAGTGCCACAGTTCAGCCGGAGGACGCAAGATATAAGCAGCCTGTATGGAAAAGCAAGAGCCGTGTGGGCGATTTAGAGAACCCCCCCATGTCTACATCAGGCCCTGGGCAGTCCCTTTGCTACCCCAGACACTCCTGTCCCTGGTGGCGGAAACACAGGAACAGTGCTGTGTAAGCTCCGTTCTTCCACAACATGAGGCTTCCATTGTTCAAGGTTTACACCCTGTGCTGTGAGACCACACTGTTTTCAGAAGCCTCCATTTTACGTAATTAGAGTTCACATTTCAGAAAACAGGTTTTCCTCTTTTAGTTCAAACAGAACTTTGATGGCTTGCCAATAAGTTTTGAATCTTGATCCAATGTACTCTGTGCAAAAAAAAGCACATAGGCAAGGGGGTGAGAGACCACATTGGGCTATGTGACCTGGGGCAGGGAATCGGCCTCAGTGAACTCAACCTTGCCTGCAGCAGAAAGTAGAAGGGGAGGGGGTTGGTAAGAGCATTAAGTGGAATATTTGCAATAAAGGACATAGTTCAGTTCACGACACACAGTAGGTTTTCAGTGTATTTTACTTTCCTTTACCTAAAACCATTTCCCAGCTTCGTACATGTGGAATAGAGAGTAACCCTGAATTACAGATTAAGTGAAAGATGGCTGGGACCAACCACGGTGTTCAAAACAGGCAAACAATAGGGATTGATGCCATTATAACAAAAACAATCACTCTTCTTTTTTTGTTTTTTTAAACCACACTTTTTAATATTTAAACTCTAGGTTACAGCCTGCAATATCCGTTACTAATCTATAGATTCTAAGAGCAAGTAAATGTTACTAAATCTCACAATGATGAAAACAGCCAGTTCACACTGATAATAGATGAATGCCAACCAGGAATACAAATGCCTGCGTCCAGTATATACAGAAAAACATTGCCAAGGAACAATCTAAAAGGGAGAACGAGCCCTAAAATGTGTTCTAAGTCCCCAGAGAGACCCCATTTAAAGCAACCTCAGGAAAGACTGTGTTTTCCGAACTCATTTCCATCTTACTGGCTTTAGGTTAGGTAGAGGGGTTGGGACAAAGGACTATGTGTCATATTCTGTTTCACCCAGTTCACCTGTTTGGGGTTCGATTAAATTATCAGTAAAGCTTTTCCCTAAGAATATTTTTTTTTCACCCACAGCTATAAAATCCTATATTCAAACACAAAGTAAAGCAAAGAATTACTGGAGATCTTTCCTCAACCTTAGCATGCAATTCAGGCCACCGTCAGCCACCACGATTTTTTTCCTATAGCCTTAGAGAAAGCAAGTCAAGAAAACTAGATTGCCCAAATCCAGGAGTACTGCTCTTGGAATTAGGAGCCACCAGGGAATGTGGCCGTGCACTCCCAGCCATACAATTCTCGCACTGGTACACAGCCTGCTGACCAAGGGCTAACACCTCCCCACGTGTGACTTAATTCCTCAGTGGTGTTCGTCTCATTCTGCACAAGCTCAGTAACACCCAAATCACTCTCCTTAGAAAGAAGCCAACATCGTTCATTGTCCTTTTTTTTTTTTGACAGAGTTTCACTTTTGTTGCCGAGGCTGTACCTGAGCACAATCTCAGCTCACCGGAACCTCCGCCTCCCCTGTTCAAGCAATCCTCCTGACTCAGCCTCCCAAGTAGCTGGGATCACAGGCATGCGCCACCACGCCCGTCAAATTTTGTATTTTTAGTAGAGACAGGGTTTCTGTTGGTCAGCCTGGTCTTGAACTCCTGACCTCAGGTGATCTGCCCACCTCAGCCACCCAAAGTGCTGGCATTACAGGTGTGAGCCACCGCGCCCAACCTGTACGTGATTTTTAAAACTTGAATCTTTAAACACTTTCTGTCCAACTTGGGACTGAGTCTCATCACAGCCACTGAACTAGCTGCTCACATTCAACAAGTCACTGTTTACTTCCCAGGGCTGGTTACTTCATCTCTAATATAAATGACTAGAATTGTATCCTTTATGTCTATAATTTTTAGTTTTTGCACAAACATGCAGTAATAATGTACACACACAGCTAGAGTCCATTGAGCACTCAAATTCACTTACTTATTTCAGAAATGACACAAATATCCAGGCACTGCACTACAAGCAGGGCATCCAAAGGGAATCAAGGTCGACCCCGACTGCACATAGATCTTTCCAGCCAACATCATAGGAAAACTGTGCCTCTTAAAAGGGTCAAAGGTAGCAGAGCCAATGCTAGCCTGTGGGCTAAATTCTGACAGTGTGGCTTAAACAATTTTAACAAGTAAACTGCAACAGAAAAATCTATCTATTCCGTAAGAGTTAGAATAGAAAAGACCTAGGCAGGCTCCTAAATCTTTCCTAATGAAGTTTTCTGGACTCTCCTTGGAATGTCCTTCAAATTGTTTGTGTTCTGAGATACTGGCCAAGGTAGAAGCTGCAAAAAAGTGGGGTGCAGGCAAGACATCCAGATACCAGACAAATGAGGAGCATGTGAAATCTCAGATGTCAACAAGAGGACACCTCAAGATTCCCTCAGCTGGGTGCAAATACCCTTGGATTCACAGATCAAGTTTCTACCCTATATACTCAACCCATGCCTCCTTCATATGGGTATCTGGAGTTCCCTGTCTAGAAACCTACTCTGGTCCATAGGATGTTGCTAAATGGAATATACTGGTGACAGCATTAGTCTTAAGCAATCATGAAACTGCAACAGGTATGTTTGAGAAAAGGCATACTGTTTTAATAAGAGAGTTGAATGCAAACATATTGTCAACTTGAAACAGAAGGTGGAAGTGAAAGAGATGTATTCCACATGAGCAAATTTACCTGATTATACAAGCTGGCAAAACTCAGCCTCCATGATGATTCTGAAGGTTCTATTATTTACGTCCACAGCCAGCATCAAACCCCCACAGCTTCCTACCCTGTAACACCATCAAGAGTGGTGAGTGATGTGTTACACGTTACAACATTTCCTGATTGACGCCAGGCATCCAGTGTGGGGCAAGAGGTTTCAGAATACACAGTGGTCTCAGATAAGCACAGGGGCCACAGATTCCACATGATTCTCAGATGTTAAGGAAAATACAGAATAAAACCTTGGAAAGTAATAGTAAACTATGACTCATACGTCTGCTTTAATGGGGAAAAAACCTAGTGAACTTATTACAGTATTAAGTGGGTAGATTACTACGTCATTAATGTGAGATGGAAGGACCTAAAATAGATTAAAAATTGAACCAAAGGGAAGGAGGATTTTTGTTAGAACAGCATGTCCTAGCTCTTGTGAACCTACACCTGTCCCTCACATCTCTGCATCTGTAAGATTCCTTCTATAAAATGAACAGAATTGAGCCACTTTGTCTCTAAAATTCCAGGTATCTCAAACATGAATACAATAAATACCAATATGGAAACATTTGCAGACCCAAGACAGTTAAATATTTGGAACAATTAGTCCAAATAAATCAACAAATAGAAGTTAGAATAAATGATCATGTAACATGAAGAGGGGGGAAAAAATCAAAGCTACACCTTTGTCAGTTGGAAGAAAGCAGAGGAAGCAGGGGATGAATTGAAATTATCAACGACCATCTGCAAAGAGAAAGCATTTACCAAGATACCCGTCAGTCTCAGAAAATTCCTACTTCATTTGATGTCGGCTGAAATCTTCTGTCCAATGTGGGATCTATCACAATAAGAATATTCAACATAGATGGTGCTTTAAGATTTATTCTGTTTTTATACTGGGCCTCTTTTTCTTTTTTTTTTTTTTTTTTTTTTTTTTGAGATGGAGTTTTGCTCTTATGCCCAGGCTGGAGTGCAATGGTACAATCTCAGTTCACTACAACCTCCACCTCCCGGGTTCAAGTGATTCTCCTGCCTCAGCCTCCTGTGTAGCTGGGATTACAGGTGTGCACCACCACACTTGGCTAATTTTCTTTGTATTTCTTGTAGAGATGGGGTTTCTCCAGTTTGCCAGGCTGGTCTTGAACTCTCGACCTCAGGTGATCCACCCACCTCGACCTCCTAAAGTGCTGGGATTATAGGCGTAAGCCACCTCGCCCAGCCTGTTTTTTAAATTAAAATCTAAAATGTCTTCAGATCAGTACCAAGCATGGTACATAGTACATTTCATTATTCTAGATGACAGGATCCATATTTTGTAAGGATTCAAATTTAGTCAAAACTGTATGAAGTACTCCATAATACCCTAAAGATTAATTGCAAACTGAATGTTTTTATCAACCTACCTGCCTGTACTTATTCACACAGACAGTCCGTTTGTAACGTAGCTTTAAAAGTGACAGAACTGCACTTCCAAAGAAACTATGCTGGAATCTGAACCATCACCGAAGTCAGGCAAAACTGTCTCCCATTACTTGGAATTATTGAACCTCGATTGTGATAGGCAATCATAATAGATTCATAGCATTCCCCAAAGTCAGTCTACAAACCCCACCCTTGTATCACTGCCATGAGTGCGGCTTGCCTGAAAGGAAAAGGCACGTTAAAAATGCACATAAAAGATGAATTACAGTGATGTTAGCAGATTATTGGTTTTTTCAATTACAAGTAAATGAAAACTGCTAAAAATAAGAGAATCTGCATATGACTACTTGCAAATTTAATTATTCTTGTTTGTCATAATCAACACTAATTTATCTACAAGATGTTAAAGTGTTCCTGGTTTGTTCTCTGAGAAAAAAAAAAAAAATTTCCCTTAAAAATCTAGTCTAGTTCAAATTACCAAAAACTCTCAAGAATAGTACAAATGAAGATTTGTAATCTGAACACATCGTAAAGCTATCAACAGGCAGGTTCTACGTATAATGTTTTTCCAAAATAACTATGTATGTCTTCTGCATAATACAAATAAAAACACTAGATATAGTAATTAATGTTGAAGGATTTTTCTGTTCCATAAAGCCTCCTGAATGTGTCAGTGGTCCTCTCATCATTGGTGAGTAAAACGCATGTAAATCTGTTAATAAAGTGAGTATCCAAGCTTTCCCTCGATCACAGATTCTAGTCGATAACCCCAGGTATTCAGATACACACAGACGGTGGTCAAGGCAACTTAAACTTCTCACTTTGGTAATTGAGGCTCTTTATGATTTAGAAGGTAGTTTTGAAAGACATGGGTCATTTTCAGCGATTGGGAAAGACCATGATTAAGCAAAATTCCACCAACACTACACAGAAAAAAACAAAATAGAGAAGCAAGTGGGGAATCTAACGTCATACTTTGCATCTGTTCTCCTAAAACCATCGTTACACTTGCAAAAGATCATTATAAGCCAGACATGGTAGCTCATGCCTGTTATCCCAGCACTTTGGGAGGCCAAGGCAGGACGATCATTTCAGTCCAGGAGTTCAAGACCAGCCTGGGAAACATGGTGAGACCCCCCCCATCCCTATAAAAGATACAAAGAATTAGCCGGGCATGGTGGTGTATGCCTGTAGTCCCAGCTACTGTGCAGGCTAAGGTGGGAGGATTGCTTGAGCCCAGGAGGTTGAGGCTGCAGTGAGCCATTATAGCGCCTGCACTCCAGCCTGAGTGACAGAGCGAGACCCTGTCTTAAAAAATAATTAATAAATAAATAAATAATCATTATAGAGATAAGTCTTTTTAAAAATAACTAAACATTTAAACTTTGAAAATAAAGAAAAAAACAATTCATTATTTTACGATTTTGTCAGATGATTTTACTTGCCAGATTATGAGCTAGAAATTCTAGAATTAGTCTTTTTTTCTAGAGCAGAGGTCAGTACAGTGGGCTGCCTGATAAAGTTTTATTGGAACACAGCCATTCATTAACATATTATCAGTAAGAGTTGAGAAGTCGCAACAGAAACTGCATGGCTGGGAAAGTCTAAAGTATTTACAGTACTATTATCTGGCCCTTTAAGAAAAACTTGACTGACCCCTGTCCAGAGTCTTAGATGAACATACTTCAATAGTGACTCAGTTCCCATGATCAGATGAGACTATGATTCAGGTCTAAAGGATGCTGCAAAGATTAATCAGGCACTTTTTGGTTTGCAACAATATTATCAGTGAAAAAGAATGTCACATGGGAAGGTTTTAAGATTGGGAAACAAGATAGTTTTTTTGTTTCTTAACTCTAATTCCTTCTTCTATGTATTCTGACTGAGATCAAAGAGAGGCTCTGGACAGGTCAGGTTAAACTCCCCAAGAGGTGTGGCGCCAAGGCACAAAATCCACAGAGAACAGCTCCGAAAAATGTGCTTGGGTGTCAAGCAAGAGTTCCATCCCCTTCTGCTGCATGGCATACAGCAGGTCACCTAACCTCCAAGCCTGTTTTGTCACAAGCACAAAATAGGAATAACAATATCTTGCCATGAGAGGGGATTTATAAAAATTAAATAAGACAATAAAGACTTAAATGCTCCCTCTTGAGCAGATGACATGGTCTTACGGGGCCCTCCTGATTACATCATGCCTGCCCATCTCTTAGGTTAAAATGTTCATCTTTGCGATGTTTCCATAATACCAAACAAGAGCCCAATGGCAAAACTGAAGCTAAAGAAAACATAGCTATTTCTTATCACGAGCTTACTCCCTAGTCACAGCTTCCCTTGAATTCTTCCCAGACGTATCTTTCTCATCTCCAAGACCCAGCCTAAGCCCCTCTCCTCTGCCCTCTGTCCATGACTTCCTCCAAAGGTTCACGGGGATGTCACCCTTAGTGCTCATCAATTCAGTCTTGCTGCACTTCCTGGGAGACCCATCTACTTAAAGGGTTTTGAAAGCTCTCTGGGATGCTGAGGATTCTTTGTCTACACTCTCCAACCTACTGGATTATTTCTTGAGCTTCAGACTCATGTACACAGTGGTCTACAACTAACCCAATGGAATGTCCCTCGAACTCAAGATTTCCACAAGTGAGCTTATCATTACCTTTCTCACCTACTCAAACCTTCTCCTTCTCCTGTGCTCCCACCCAAGAGATAGAACCATATCCATCCCACTGCTCAGCCAGAAATGTGGGGGTCTTTCTGGACCAACCTTCACCACCACCACCACTGCCTGACATCCAATGCTTATGTTCTTCTTCCACTTAAAGTATGTACATAATTCCACTGCTAGATGCTAGAAAATAAAACAGGAGCTGAAATACTGCATGGTCTTCTGAGAAAGCTTTTGTTCTTCCCCTACCTCCTCTTGCTGCTAGACAAAGACACTTGGAGCTCCAGCTGCTATTTTGCATCTAAAGACAGAAACCAGCACTGTGGAAGGAAGAGCTGAGAGATGAGTCTGAAATCTTTTAAACATATATTTAATGGTTTTGTATTGATGTGTAATCATTTTATGTATTTTGGGGGCACATGTGATATTTTGACACTTGTATACAATGTGTAATGATAAAATCAGGGCATTTGGGATATTCAACTATTTTATATTGATGTATAATCATTTTATATATTTTGAGGGTACACGTGATATTTTGATACTTGTATACAATGATAAAATTAGGGTATTTGCGATTTCCGAAATCTGGAAACTTGATCACACCTGTCAACTGCCAGATCAGCCCGAGAACCCATTTCTGGAATTTAACATAGGAAGAGTTAAACTTTTCTCTCATGTAAGCCATTGTAATTTTAGACTTTCTGTTCTATGCAGCAAAATCTAACAGCATGTAGATTTCTCAAAACCACTCTTCAAACACCAAAAATTCAGGTTAAAATATTTCAATACATTTGACAATGAGTCATCCACGTGGCCCCTCCTCCTATGACCATCTCAAACAAACGTTTCTCAATGACTAGTATTTGGGGTATAGGATCACTTAAAAATGCCAACTCTGCTCAACAAAGTCTCCACATAAAATATATACTGATGCTGTAAAAAATAAATAGTATCAAAAAATTAGGCTGATTGTTAATAGTTATCATAAAGTGGATGCAGAAAACTTCAAAAAAGAGTAGACAAGTTCATCAAAGTACACACTTTTTATGAAGTGCAAAGTTTTTATAAAGAACAAAGTGACCTTTTAAAGTCAAGTGGAATATGCCTCAAACTAAAATCAGGGCCAGGCACGGTGGCTCATGCCTTAAATCCCAGCACTTTGGGAGGCCGAGGCAGGCAGATCACTTGAGGTCACGAGTTTGAGACCAACCTGGCCAACAAGGTAAAACCCCGTCTCTACTAAAAAAACATACAAAAATTAGCTGGGTATGGTGGCACACATCTGTAACCCCAGCTACTCAGAGGAGGCTGAGGCATGAGAATTGCTTAAACCCGGGAGGCAGAAGTTGCAGTAAGCCGAGATCACACTACTGCACTCCAGCCTGGATGACAGATCAAGACTCTGTTCCCCCCCCCAAAAAAAAAAGAAAAAAAAGAAAAAAATTAAAATTGATGGTGCCCCTTAGCACAGGTGGACAAAACAGCACTAGCAAGAGGGGTCTCAGCAGCAAGCAAAAACAAAAGAAAATCCTTAAAACACATTAGAATGAGAAGCCTTATAAATGGTCAAGAAAAAGACTTCAAGTTGTGGGTTGAAGAAAAATAAAGTCGGAAGATGCAAAGATAGAGAAATGCTGATACAGACAAAAGAATCATTTATAGGAAAAAAACAGAGTCTAAATTGAAGTTTAAAAAAAGGTAAAAAGGTTGTGTGCAACAAGCGATTTTAGGTAAGGTTAAAAAAAAATGTATGCCAGGAAAATGCTTTAGCATTGCCTGGATAAGCCTCGTGGTGTTAACAGTAACTGCATCTGGCTTCTGAAACTCC